TGAAGCTGCATCTTCCCCCTGGGGTTTGGGTTGTGAGGAGGGATTGGCCGCGGGGTTCCCCAGCCCGTCCCCGCTGCCGGAGGGGAGGCGTGGGAGCCCCCTCGGGCTGCCGTCTTCACCCACACGTCATGTTTTTCAGCGATGATGGAGGAGTCGAAGCTGACGCGTTTCCAGAGGCGATACCTGATGGACTTTGTGAAACGTGAGTGCCGGCCCTCTCGCTCTCCCGCCCGGCGCTGCGCTGCGGTGAAGAGCTTTTTCTGCTCACCGTGAGACGGGGCGTTCGCCCACAGCCTGCTTGAATGGGCAAGTGCTTTAAAACAGCAGCACGGCTGCTGCTGACACGCGGGGACACAGGGGGCGAGGTGTCCCCGGGGGTCATCCAGGGAACAAGACGCAATGAACCACGGTCTGTGTCGTGTCAGCGCGTACCAACAGCCAGGGTGAGACATCGGTGGCACCCGGGGTCTTCACTTGTGGTGCTACAGTGGATCAACAGGCAGATCTTCTGCTGGTGGTAGCCCAGGGCCATCCATCCAGGCTCCTCTCTGTCTGACTTACCGTTACTTTTGGTTTGTTCTCCAGGAGGACATACCTTGCCCCTCCAGTGCCACCCCACACCCAGCAAAGAGCCAGCGCCTGCTTCCTCCCCACCAGTTTGTCAGCCGAGCAGGCTTTCAGCTAAACCGCATCTCCGACCTGCCAAGGTCTGCCAGGCCGGAGATGCCTACGCCCGAGAGAAATTCAAGCCACGGGCAAGGCGTAAGTTGGCAAACACCGCTGATAAATAAACAATGCCGCCCGGTCCCTCTCTTCCCCTTACGTCCATCCCCAGCCTGCAATCTCAGCAGCGGCAGGGGGTATCTTAATTGCTCTTCATCCTCACGCGTCCTGTCTTCAAAGATGCTTTAAAAATGGATCTCTGAGGGAATACCTGCTGTAAGTGCTCGCTGACTTCTGCCTGCTGGCTAGGGGGGTGACAGGTGATAGGGACTCGCACAGTCCTTGTGAAAGAAGGGAGTGCTGTGTAATTTTCTAGGTTATAAACACGAATCAAAGCTCTGATGCCAGTTTGGTTGGCTCTTCACCACGGGTACACCTGTGCGGTGCTTGCACAGTTCAGTCTGGGGACGGGCTGTGGTCAACGTCAGGCTTCCTCTAGCATCATTATCAGAGGAGTAATGTGGCCAGGCTCCGCCCTGAGGAGATGGGCTGCTAATCATTTATTTTCCCCTTGGCATTCACAGGAGATTTGGAAAAGGAGAAGCAAAGGCTCCAGAACATCTTAGCGACAGGGAAGGATGCGGTGGAGCACAAGGTGAAGCAGACGCTGGTTCAGACAAAGGAAGAGGAGATAGCTGAGCCTGACCGGTTTGAAGAATGTATGTCTTCATGTACCCTGGAGGAAGGCAGGCGGGAAGCCTGGGAGGCCGGCTCCCTCCGAGGGCTGGGGTGGCAGGCTGTGTTGCCGGTAACCTGAAGCCCGTTGCGGAAGGAGGCACAAAGCCCAGTTTCCATGAGAAAGGACTGGCTGCTGTGACGCTGTGATCCAGCCATCCTCGCCGAGCTTATACTGCAGAGGTTTGCTGGCAGATTCAAGCTCCCTGGGCTGCCCGCACAAAATGAGCTCTGCTGGCAGGGGAATACCCTGGGGACGCGCAGGGTGACCTGGGCAGGCAGCCCAGGTACTGCGGGTCCTTTTTTCCAGCCAGCGTAACTTAACATAGACTAGGATGCTTGCCAGCCTGACCATGGTTTGGGCTCTGTTTTCTTTCACTCCAAGATCAGAGCAGTTACCCCAGCAAAGCTTAAATGTCGAGCAGACTTTTAAACAGTGAGGCACTTTGGCCTGCAGAGTATTCTGGGATGGCAAAACCCTGCCTAATACCTCTCTGTGCTTGAATCTTCAATGTGTGTGTACACCCCGGCCAGCCCTTTGCTAGCGAGGACAGCACAAAGATGGACAACGCTAGAATAACGTGTAGAGAAGTGGTGCTTTGGTCCCTGCTGCAGGGAAGCTGGTGCGGCTGGCGGTGCGGCTGGCTTCACGCATGCTCTGTATCCTCTAAAACTTGTCGCAAGCCGAGTGTTGTCCTTGACACATCTGAAATACCCATGTACTTTGTACATGCCAAGATTTGGACCAGCTGGCTGCAGGTCTGTGCTGCACAGCGGCAGCTAATGTTCTGTGCCTGTGCTGGTCCTGGGAGCAGAGATGGTCGTGGTCACTGGGTGATGATGCTGCATGTCAACGGCTTTAAGCAGGTTCTGTCTCCACCCACAGACTGGTTAAATTGCCCACAGGGAACAGAGAATTGTCTATACAAAGAAAACTAGAAAGTTACCGTTCCTGCAAGATGGGGAGCGGTAAGAAGATGGGCAGGGGGGACATTTCTCATTGCGTAAGGCACTACTGAGGTATTCTGATGACATGCTCAAGAGGAGTGTTACAGCAGACATCACCCTTCCCCTGGTGGGACTGCTGTTCAAGCAGCGCTAGGAAATGGGGTTCAGATCTAGACAGAAACGTGTTTTCTTGCCTTTTGGCTGAATCCTGTTTCCACAGTGTTTTCTCTTATCTGTCAGTGGTGAATGAAGTTCAGGAGAGGAAGAAGTTCCTGGCAGAGATGGAAGCTCTAGGACAGGGCAAGAAGTATCAAAGGATCGTCCTCACTGAAATCTCACAGGTACGCCAGGGCCCTCGTGTGTGTGGAGGGAATCCCTAGTGTCAGAAACCTTAAAGCAGAGTCTCCCTCCACTACCTGAGCAGGGAAGGAGAAAGGGGAGAGAACCGTGTTTCCCTTCATGGCACGGGACAGACAGGAATTTGGGCAATGGGGAATAGAGGTTTTCAGCCTTTTTTTCCATGTCTGCATGTAACTTAATCAGGGAAATAGAAGCTTTGTTCTTGGGGTTGGCAAAAGAAGAAAAAAAAAAGCTGCCGGCATTCTCCTTCCCCTTTGTACTTTGCAGAAAATGCGTGAGATGGAGATCATTGACAAGAAGAGAAGTGAGGAAATGAGAGAGGCCATGACAAAAGACATCCCTGGTGGGAACAAATCTGATCCCCACGACTAGGCCAAGGGAAAAAACACAAGCGCAGTTTGTTCCCACCTCTTCTTCCCAGACTCTCAGCATCGGAGTCTCAAGGGCTGGTCTGTGCCTGTGCCCGAAGAGGGGGCAGCACCACTTGTTGCCTAAAGCCAGAAGGCAGGAGCAATTTGTACATAACTGGTAACAGAAGAAAGCTGTTGTAAAATCCGTCCCATGCACCGGATCCCTTCTTGCTCAACGATATTAAAGAGATGAAAACACACAGCAGCGGCTACCAAAACATGACAAAGCAGAGCCTCCTTTTGCCTATGCAATGCCTCATTTTGCCTATGCAATGCCTCAGAGCACAGCAATCCACCAGTAAAAATGTCACTCCTTTCCATCCACCCAGAGGTGGAGACTTCTCATGACAGTACGATGGTAACAAACACGTGTGTTGCCACCCACATCTACGACCCGCTCCTGTCCCCACGACTCTGGGAATGGCTGCGCTGGCAGACGGCGGGGAGGAAGATGCAGCGGCGTGGCCTTGCGCAAACACGAGCCTCCAGCGTTGCTGCAGGTCAGCACAATTGCGTGCATCAGCAAACTTCTTGTCAGCAGCTAAACTGGGCAGGCTTTCAGGAACACAGCTGCGCTGAGGAGGGAGAGGGGATTTCAGCCCAGCGCATCCTGCTTTTTGCTGCGGGCTTGCTGTGGTTTTTTGGTTCCTGAAAGCATGGTATGCAGAACAGCCATCGGTCTCCCACAGAGCCTGGAAACGGCTGTTTGCTCACCTCGTACATACCCCCACCTCTGTCCTCCAGCAGGCTGAAGCACGATGTCCTGCTATTCCTGCATAAAGCCCACCTCCCAGTTTCCTTAAGATCTCATCATCTGCTTCTTAGCAATACTCAGCCACTCAGTCAGCCACTCCCCAAAGCCAGGCAGCATGCCCTGTCCCCAGAACAGCATGGATACAGAAAGGAATTGGAAACCTAAGCCGCGATTGGTTTTTAAATCCAATGTTTCTTTTATTTCTGTTCAGGTGAATGGAAGTCACGGAGTTAGTACAGTATAATTTACAAATCAGAGTTCTGACCGGGCGCGGGGCCAAGGGGTGTCAGGCTGCGGCGATCCCGATGGCCTTTGGCAACAGTGACATGACTGCAGGCTCTAAAGCGGATTTGTTTCTCCTTGGAGAAGAGTTGTGCTTTGGGATCTCCCCTCCCCTACCACTGCTCCTCATCAGCCTGCTGGGGTATGGCAAGAGTGAGATGGCAACACCAGCGCAGGGCTGAGCTTGCCACCTCCCAGCCACGGGGGCCACGCTGGGATTGAGGAGGGGCTCGGGTCCCTCAGGTTTTGGGAAACAAGGGTCCCTTTCCAAGAATGCTACACCAGCCACCTTGCAAGGCATTGCTCCAAAAGCGTTTTGGCTAAAGCCTGTTGGGTTTTTAGGAGGGACTGCAGCAGTTTGCTAGGGGCTGGTTATGTCTAATTTGCTAATGAGAAGGCATGACGAACAGCTGACCAACCAAACACCCATGAAACTCTAATTCGGACTGATCCAACAATTCAATAAATAACTCCTCGCCTTAGAGGAGAAGGCAGGAAACAAAAATGGAAGGAAGAAGGGATGGTTGGAAGAACACCGCCCCCCCCATTCCCTCCTCCGTTGTACACACACGCACACACACATGACAAATAAAATAAGGGGTTTAAAAAGTTTTAGGGTGGGTTTGAATTCATCTAGTAAAGGAGGTGTAAAAAATAACCAGCCAAACCCTGCACACTTTTGAAGTATACACAGATGAAGCTGGGTAAAGGTCAGTTGTGACCGTGCCTCTCTCCCCAGCCGCTCAAGGATGGCACTGGTGAGCAGGGGCACAAGCTTAGTGCCCCTTGCTGGCACTGAGTCAGTCTTGAGCTTTTCTGCCCTTGCCTGGAAAAGGAATGTTCCTCTCTTCCCCCGAAGGCAGCAGAGTCAGCGGTGTTTAGCAGCAGCGGGGGGTTAGATGTCCTGAGTTGGGCTACATCCTAGCAGCTTACACTGTCCCCTTGGGTCCTCTCAGCCCTGTAACGGAGCCCACCCAGCCCTGGTGCTCGAGGGAGGGGACAGCTCAAAATAAATAGGGCACCAGTTATTTTTTTGGCTATGGCTCTAGAGCCTTGTGATGCGGGAGTGTTTTCTTAACATTTCAGTTTAGGCCAGTAAAACCCAAAGAATCCTGATTCTAATGCCAGAGCTTTCTCCTGAAGTTTAAAGATGGGACAGGAAGGGGACAAGAGCGGGTGGGCAGGGAGGGACAGGCAGGCCCAGTCCCCTCCTGGCAGAGGTCAGAGGCACGTGGAACTGTCACAGTTAGAGCGGGAGAAGGGATGGGGGGGCGGTTAGTGCAAGTTTTCCCACAAACACCGAACTCCTTGGCTTGCTTCTCAGTTAATAACAAGAACACGCAATGGGGTAACATATCCAAAAAGCAAATCCATCTTCTCCCCGCCTTGTTAGCAAGGCTTCATGGAGGGGACGGTCAGGCTCCTCCGCAGCCTCGGGAAGAGGAGCGCTTTGGTTGGACTCCCCCGCTCCGGGCAGAGGGCTGGCATCTCCCCGGGGCGACAGCTCCGTGCCTGGGGCAGGAGCAGGGGGAGAGGTGAGGGGAGCGGAGGGAGACAAGCCCCCTTTTCTGGCAGGCATTCCAGCCAGCTGTGGAGAGGCCAGGGCAGTCAGGCAGCACATCCCTCCCACTGCTGGTGTTCCCCTGCTCTAGCTTTTCTCCTTGGGCGACTTGCTCTTGGAGTCATGCTTGTTGCCCAGCAGCTTAAGCACCTTCATGGGCTTGAATTTGCCTTTCTTCTTGCTCTCGGTCTCCGCCTCCTTGTGAAATTCTGGGGTTGCAAAGGGAGGTTGTTACTGCGGGATGCTGATGGTTGTATACACGTGTGTGCGCGCGCGCAACGACAGGGGTAAGGGTGAGAGCCATGAATCAAAGCCCTCCACCGCATGCATGCTTCTTTCTGTGATAACAGGGGTGCGCAGCACAGCTGTGCCCCAAACTTTAACAGCCGAAAGGCTCCAGAGTCTACACAGAATAGATTTAATCTCTCCTTCTGCACACAATTTCATGAATGGCTCATGCTGCCCCTTGCTGTGGTCAGCAGTGAAAACATCACTCCAAAAATCTTCCTGATTGTTTCTTACCTTTTCTTTTAATCATGGCTTCCAACATTTTATCTTCCTCCTCTTCTCTGAAAGAAAGAGTGGGAAATAGGTCAGCAATTCAGCCCTGAAAACAGCTGCTCTATTGTTTAAGGCTAGAGAACCTCCTACTTACAAGTTGTGGAGGGGCAGATCCATCACTGTCTTGTGAGCATTTGCTACCAGCAGGATAAATCCCACCTGCTGCAAGTACTGCCCTGTCCTTCCCACACAAGGCATTCAAAGAGACAAGAATCGGGAAGCCTGGGAAAGACGTCAGCAACAGGGACATCTTGGGACACCCCCCTGAGCCGCTAGTGTGGCGCTGAGTCAGACGGGCTACACTTTTCCCCTCTCCCCCAGCCCACCCTGCTCCTCACTCACCTCTGCCGGTCCTCGTCCAGGCAGTTCACAATGGCATTCCTCTGCTCAATGATGGTCACCAGCTCCTGCATCAGCACCTTCTCCCTCCCTCGGTCCTCGTCGGTCCAGTCCTTCTCTACCCAGCCAAACCCCGAGGAAAGACAGGCAATTGATCCCCTAGCACGATCCCCTGCTACCCTGCCATGGCTGCAGGGCCAGTTGGGCTAGCGGTGCTGTGGAGGGGGAGCCCTGTAAGTGGCATCCCATGGGGATAAAAGGAGCACATCCCTGCACAAGGCTGGGGCGTGCAATGAGATGGGACAGCAGCTCTAGAGCCAACTGATTGTGCTGGCATCCCTAAAGATCTGTCTCTCTTCACCCGAGACCCACCTAGACAGAGGGGAGATGAAGCCCAGGGGAAAAATGGAGGTAACTGCACCCAGAAAGATGCTTTACCTGGCTTGTTGAGGAGGCAACGCAGTTCATACTCCACGTCCGACTGCCGCTGCTCCAGGTTCTGCTGCTTGAAGCTGCAAGGGAAGGGGGCACTGCCAGGAACCACTGCAAGGCTCCAGAGAGGCAGAGCATCATATCCCAAGGTACAGAGTGAGCTTGGAAAGAACCACCGAGATGCTGGTCTTATCCTGTATAGCCAAAGGGCCAGAGAGCCAAGCGCCAGCAGGGACCAGCCCTGGCTGCTTAAGGCCTTCCTGGAGGAGATGCTGCGGGGGCTCTGGTGACTGGCAGTGGGTCAGTCCTGAGTGTGTTTGGATACATTTGTCTTCTTTCCCTCCCTTCTCCAGGCGAGGAGGCCGTGCCAGGCTCTCCCTGGAAGCACAGTTTCAGGAGGGCTGAGACAGGGATCCCCGCAAGAGCGTCAGTGCCTCCCCACATGCTTGTGCACACTTACATGTAGATGAGCTCTGATTCGTGGCGCACCAGCACGTGCTTCTCATGGATGAGTTTGAACCAGTCCACCAGCAGGCTGTCCTCAGGGCTGTCTGCCAAGCAAAGGCACAATTCAGAGCCATCCTAAGCCCTGCAGGATCCCACCACCCTGCATCAGGATGGGCTCTGCCAAGCCAGGAGACGGGCACTGGGCTGGAGCCAACCTGACCTCAGCCTGTTCCTGAGCACCAGAGAGACCTTATCTCTTCTTCCACCTATTTCCACTCTAGGGACATCTCCATGTCCAGGGTATGGCTGTTCTTGGAACCCAGCACAGCCCCTTGTGCTCTTCCAACACCAGCATCAGCAGGGAGGAAGTCAAAGCTGCTATCTCCTTGGACACAGAGCAGCCCTAGGGTCTGTCCTGCCCCACACCCACAGACAGCCCACTCCACATACCATTCTCAGCACTGCGAAGTTTTTCCTCCAAGGCCACCCCACGGTGCTCCAGCTGGTCCAGCTGGTGCTCGATGGCATCCATCTCCCCATAGATGTCTTCCTCGGGGATGTACTGATCTGTCTGCACCTGCCAAACCACAAGGCAGAGACTTCCATTACCATCAACCTCCAGTTTCCAGGGGTAACCCTAAGGCTGGTCAACACTAATGGGGATGGAGGGACAACAAACAACTCCACCTAAGTGTGGATCCAAAAATCCCCACGCCGCTCTGGAGCAAAGGGAGACCATGGTGCTGCCATCAACGGGGTCTAGCCTAGACACCATCCTCCCCAGCCACAGCCATCTGCTGCAGTCCCTACCCCA